TAATAAAACTGTTTTTGTTGTCTATCCAGCTTACATGAAAATCCACATTCTTTTCTGCTAAAGCAGTCTACGTCAAACTACCCACTTTTCCACAGTTCACACTCAAACATGAGAAAAAGGAAGAACACTGCTAGACCTCAGCCTAAGATCCCAGAAGGGAAGACTGCTTTTGGCCACCTGCTTGAGCACATAGCAGCAATATGGCTACAGATGGATATATTACCACAAATAAGTCTCACTCTTGCACCTCAAAATCCAGCAAGGGGTAGGATTCCCCCTACTCTTCTGGGAGTCTCAATAGCAGTCACTTGGGAACATCTGTCTATAGTCTGAAGTGTGTTTGAGATGAAAAGGGGTATAAGACCTAGCAAACAAGGACTTCTTCCAGTATTTCTTTCATTTTCCCAAACCCCTGGTACTGTACTGTTAAAGACATTCCCCCCTTGCCCATCATCAAATCTCAGATGAAGTCTTTCACACAACTTTACCTAAGAGAAAGTAGCCATATTCTGTGTACTTTAAAAAAAAAAAAAAAAAAAGGAAACAAAAAAATGCTATAAAGAAAAGAGTTGTCCTCAAAAATATGTTACAAGGAAAAAGCAAGTCTCTGAGTCAAGTTCTCACATTTCATATGGCAAGTGGTTTGAAGTTATTTCCATTTCTCCCAACAACAGGCGTGTACTAGACCCAGTGCCATATATTCATTAAGAAGCATCCACCTACCAGAAGTGACCATACTGCTTTTCTCCTGATATAAAACAAAAGGTGGCATTTCACAGAACGGCCAGGTTGGAAGGGACCTCAAGGATCATGAACCTCCAACCCCCCTGCCACATTGCAAGGCCACCAACCTCCCCATTTAATACCAGCCCAGGCTGGGGCCGCATCCAACCTGGCCTTGAACACCTCCAGGGACGGGACATCCACAGCCTCTCTGGGCAGCTGTTCCAGCACCTCACCACTCTCACAGTAAAAAACTCCCCCTTGATATCCAACCTAAAAAAATCTTCCTTCCCTCAACTTAAAAACCATTTCCCCTTGTCCTGCTGTTAACTGCCGGTTAGCACCTGAATTATGGATTGTCTTCTAACATCAGCATCATAAAGCTGTCACTGAATTGTACTATTAGCAAAAAAAGTGTCAGCCATTTCACTGCCGTGAAGTGAAATTCTGCCTTTCACCACCCTGGTGTTCATACATCCTTTTAATGATTTACTGTTTAGTATCATTAACACTGGTATTAAAATGCATCTACTGGGTCTACAGAGCTATTCTCAGCTATATAATTCTATTTCAATCCAATTTTGCATCTGGCAAATTTCATGCTCGGACAGAAGAGTTCTACATTTTAAGCACTCAGATGAAAAGACAAGTTTTGCATGACAAAAAGGCCCTTTGAGTGAGTTAGATATTCACCATTTAGACAACAAAACTGTTGGTGACCAAAGACTTCAGTGCCTAGCCTTCCAATTGAAACAATTACTATTCAGAAGAGGCTCCTTCTATGTAATAACAAGCAAGTCTCATTTGACAAGGTAATCAGAACTGCAAATCTCAGTTACTGACCCAAATTTCATGCAGATCATATGCATGACCCTTCTGCAAATCATATTTTCCCCAGTCTGAAGGCTTAGGCATCTGCATCCATAGAAGCACGCAGACAGAATGAGAACCTTTGCCTATTACACACTCTGTGCACTCACTGAGAGCTCGGTACAGTGGGACATTTCTGTAGGTGTCTTCAACGAAATGTGAAAAAAACCAGTAACACATATACAACCATCACTTAACATCTGCCCAAACCAAACAGCCTGAGGAAATGTGAAACTGCAAGCTTTAGAAGAGTTTGAAATATGTTCATTTCATCTTCAAAAATATATTCTTTAAATGTCTGTGGGACTCCAAGCAGTAACTTTCACTAATTCTGTCTGCAAGCACACCATTACCTGGACAGACCAATATAACTCAATCTTCTAAGCATGCCTGCAGTACAGAGAAGCTTGAAATATGACTAAGAGTAATAACCAAGATCGGAAACCGCAACAAAACCAAGCTTAAGTAATACAGACAAAATCCATTTCAAGAATATGGATTTTCTGTAGTTTAATAGATATTTAGTTCATTTGTACTGTTATAGTCTATGCTGAGATGTTTGTGATTAATTTCTGATTTTCAAGGCTGTGTACTACGAACGCAACCTTACAAGTTACAGCTGTGTATTTCTCTTTTCAACAACATTGTAAAATAAGAAGTGGGTCAATATAGTTCAACTCATCAATTCATATTTGTTTACAATTCTCCTGGAAGACAAGCCGAGGTTCATCTCAAGCTATAAAACCATGACATGAGACAAAGAAAAAACTTGACATATGACAAGGAAGAAAGAACTTCTGTTCTCTACAATACTGCATACATTTCACATCAACACTAACATACTAAATGGCAACACTTGGCTTCTCTAACAACTTATGCAAAAAGCAAATCACAGTGGAAAACTTTCTGCACCGCAAGGCAGGTGCTTCTCCTTACCTAAGCAATTTCACATACCACAATATTAGACCCTGCGTTTTGCTAACACAACTGCTCCTGACAACCTGCTGCGTTTCAGTCCAGCAAATGCATTAACTATGTCTCAAAAAAAACTACTGTTGCAGACAGAACCATCTTCAGCTGAAGGTAGAATAAAGCATCATCTCTTTCCAATAGGCAGCATACTGATAGCACTCTATCATTCATATATATATATATATATATATATATATATATATATATATATATATATATATGTGCGTGTGTGTATATATATTTTTTTAAACTATTATGAGTTGTTGAGAAATTACTCCACATTCTACAAGGTTAAAAATTAAATGACTGAAGGAAGCTGCTGACCAGGACAGTACACCACCTCCAGACTTAGAAATCACTAATACTGTAGGAGAGGGTCAGCATCCTATGGAACGTTATGACCATTCAAAATATGTCATAATCAAAGCTTTACTTTATAACACGTAAGGTATGCTCAAATAGAATTTTAAGTGCCTCACATTCATCATTTTCACCCCTCAATTAGAAAGTAATACAAATTGTGTGCAAAAGTTATACTTTTAGGAATATATGCACTCCTCCAAGTCAAAACATTCATGGTTAGCATTCACACGTCAGCTCCAACTTCCTCATATTCTGTCCATTTATTTTTGGAGGAAAGGAGGAAAGTAAGGACCTTAATTTTACTATTATTATAATAAAGAATGACCACAGGCCATGTTTTTCTACAAAAAAAAAACCTATTTTCTCCTTAAATGAGAGGCACCTGCTTTTTGGGTGTTACACTGCATGTCTTGTTCCAGTTCAGTCTCCTGAACACAGAAGTTACTGATCTGACATTTCATGAAAACTGCAAATTTTGAAAGATTCAAGCAGTTTCTGCATCTTTTCATGACATTTTCATCTGTGCAAACCTATGCAAGGTGCACACTTGCATCTGACAAAACTGTTGTGGCACTTGTTCCCTTTTTCACCTGTTTCTTAGTGAAGAATATGTGACTTCTAAATGATTAGAACTATTTATCTAAATTCTTGAGCACTAATGAATGTTCCCTCACTTATTCAATCAAAGAGAAAAGCTATTGAACACCTGTATGTTGCAATTCTCTTGTGATTTATGTTTCCAAGAGCCTTGGAGTTCTGTATGTTGACTGGCACTGTGGTCTCTAAATCACAAGTGTTACAGACAAATAGAAATCACACCCCAGAAAAGGTGCAGTAGGAAGATAATGGGAACACTGTGATAGTCCTTACTTCTTCCCGCATTCAGATCTTTTCCCACCCAGCTTTTCCAGTTAACATTTTCATATGTTTGCATATGCACTGAGAGATGCCCCTGGTATACCTCACTCTGAATAGCTAGCAGACAGACTTTTTCTTTTATAAAAGTCCATAAGAAATTCAGACTTAAAATGTCTTGTTTTTCCTGCAAAAAGTAAAAACAACAACAACAACAAAAGACAGGAAGACATTTTACAAAAGAGGAAGACTAAAGTAACCAGCATTTTCATGACAAATACACATCCTCCGATAACATGCTTTCAGGTTTAGAAGTTGATTGTGTACTTATTATTACCAGGGCAGAGAAATGCCATGCTTTAAATCTGGGTTTATTTTCTAATCACCAATGGGAATTTAGGAAGCCTGGACTGAGAGCAGTGTCATTAGGACGTATCTACTCAGCAGGCAGCATTAACTCATCACATTGTCTTGTTCAGAGAAGGAATGTATCAGCTGTGTCTTTCCTTGTCTGAACACGTTATGCCCACAACACAGAAAACACCATCTCTGAGCAAGTGAACACTATTTTATCAGAGCTCTAAACAATCAGTGCAGTTGTTATTTTCAGGCTGCAATAGGTTTTGCTCACTTTCTCAGTGACATGCTGTACTGCTTCTGGATTGCAGTAACTTTTCAACATTATCTGGCATTGAGATAACACTGCAACACCTCACCTGTATTTCACAGTCAAGAAGATAAGCCCTAAGACCCTGAGGTTTATAGGATTAGCCATAGGTTCAGATGCAAAAGCCTGAGCTGGGATAAGATTACCTAAGTGTTTATTTCCCTGCACTGAACAGGAGGATATATTAGCACATCCTTAGTTTCAGCCTTCCATATTTCCCATAAAGCACAGAATGTGCTATTGCTGCTGTATATATGAAGCTTATATTTGATAACTGTCTTGTTTCATCTTCCGAGCTCTGGGTCAGCTTACACAGGAGCAGCTCTTTAACAGCATATAAAAGCCCAGAGAGAACAAGTAAAAGATTCAGTGCATCTCAGAGGATCAGGAGGGGGAGGAGGAAAACAAGAATCAGGAAAGATACCCTTGCTTTAAACTTCCTACCCCAGCAGAAACTGAAACCTGTGTTGTTCCTCTCGCTATTACTGAGACTAAAAGAATAAATAGCAAACAGAGCAGAACTGTAAGCAAAATAGCTCTCTGTACTCACCTAGTGCTGAAGACCAGTGCAGGAAAAAGCAGCAGCAAGTAATAAGCAGGGAAGAATTTCATGATGTAGCCTCCCTGTTTCGTTCTTTTCCTCACCGATCCTCCTCGCAGCGTCTCCTGCTTCCTCTGCCAAGCGATAGACCGACTAATGAAGGGAGCTCAGAGTGGGATGTGAGTTCCAGGAGTGATGTCAGAGGCAGCGAGCTGCTGCTGCGAACCCACAGCCTGCTCGAGGCGATCAGTCAGCGTGCTGCCTCCAGCCGCGTCCTGGAGGGTTTGGTAGCGGTGGATGGGGAGGGACGGGCAGGCAGCAGCTGGCACTTGGCTTTGAGGTTATGGCAGAGCAGAGCTTGGGGATTCCACCTGGAAAAAGAAAGAAACTGTAATTAGAAAATGATGTTATTTTCATTCCAGTCTTCATTTGTTCAAAATGTTCTATATAAGATTGTGGTACAAAGGCAGGATTTGCTAGAAGCAAACAGCAGGTAACAGATCAGCTTGACAAACTGGAACTGGAGAGGTATCACCTCTGCACAGCAAGAATTCACGCATCATTAAGTCAATTAGATACTAATTCACCCCATTAGCACTTCAAGTTGAAAGGAAGAGGGGAAACAGATCCCCAAAATACTTTTTTTGAAATATTCACGTCATCTCTAAAAATCATTTACTAGCAGAAGCAACTCAGAAGTCTTCAAGAGCATTTCAGACTCTTATTTTCCGCTTTATGAGTTTTTGTTTCATCTTATCTTGACCTCGATTGTAAAAGTACAAGTAAAATGTACTGTCAACCGAAAATGCTTCCAAAATCCAAGTATTCTTTACTCTGTCACAAGTGAAATCAGCAAATCATAGAGCCGTAGAACTCTGAAACAAAAATTAAACTTTCTATGCAACAGAAAAAAAGCCCAAACTTGTCTACAACTGAATCATAGAATAGCTTATGTTAGAAGGGACTTTCAAGATCGTCAAGATCCAAGCCCCTGCCGTAGACTGGTTGCCCTACACCAGCTCAGGCTGCCCAGGCACCCATCCAGCCTGGCCTTCACTGCTTTGCAGGAACCGGGCACCCACAGCTCCCTGGGCAGCCTGTGCCAACACCTCAACCACCCTCCGAGTAAGGAATGAGAACTGATCATTAGAAGACAGAGTTCTGGCTGTCTGTGTACCTGTCAGGTTAAATGAAAGGCATCCAGAAACTACATTATACAAGACATGCATAAAATAAAAAGTTCCCACACTCTAGCATGGCACATCATTGCATTCAACTGTTTGAAGAATACATGCAGGTTGTATCACAGCCAATAGAAATGGAAACTTCTTTGAAAATAGATTTGACCCTTATTAAGGCTTCATGTGGCATAGAGATGGAATAAATTACATATCCAACACAATGAAGAGAGGGGGGAGGGGGAGAAAGGGAGAAAAAGAAAAGGAATATACATAGGAAAAAGAATGTACAGAAAAAGGCTAAAATAATGTCTGAAAAGAACTCTGTGTCCTAACTACGTTATTTCCCTGGCCCCCCTGGCAGCAAGTTGTATTTGACCGCAGTAATTTAACTCAGCATTTATTGTTATTTTGATGCTACAGTACCAGAATCAGAAACAGTCATGTTGCCATGGATACTTATGGCAGAACAGTAAAAAGGTCATAAAAAGTGCAGTCAGCTTCTCATTTTCTCTTCCAGAAAAAAAAAAACACAACAAAACCAAAAAACAAAACCAACAACTAACTCTCCCAGGTACCTTCCAGGCATCTATGGGCAGCTACACCTTCTTCCACCCTTTCTTTATATGCACCCATACAGGGTGGAAGAGGGACAAAGAGAAGGCACTAGGGAGTAACTTATGCTCAATTATACAGTGCAAGCTCAACAAATCTCACAGGATTCTGCCACTTTGTGAACTGTTTTTCTATTTTACTGTTACTCTTTTCCACCTGCCTCTTCCACTAGGGAAGAAATTTTTAATAACATCCAACCTGAACCTCCTCTGCTGCACCCAACTTCACCTTCACCTCCCCCTCCACCCTCCCCATTCCTCTAGTTTTTCCTCACTCTGATCAGAACTGACTCAGCAAGTGCAAACCCTTTAAGCTTTTCCAACGCTACTCCTTTAGTCTCACTTGTATATGAATATCCCAATCAGATGGCCACAGCTCAGTCTCAGCTTCTGAACACCTCAAAAAGAAAAGCTTCCCATCTCAGATCATGGTATGGGAATGGAGGGTATCAATCCATCTGGGCAAAGCCTGTACTCTTCCAGGCCGTTAGGAGATCACAACATCAATATTGTTACCAAATGCACGGATGAGCTGTGTTACTGTTAAGAGAAAAACTCAGCAGTAAACAAAGGTAGGACTTAAAATTGCATTTTTTATAAGTTCTTCAATTAAGGACTGGGCATTTAATCTTAAACATTAATGCTGTCAGACTTGATTGTGCTCAAACTGTTTGCCTGAAGGCATGTGAGAAGACATCCATTTACCCCTCACAACTAACTTAGCTAGATCTGAAGCTTTGGAGATATTGTGTTTTTTTTTGTTGTTTTTAGTTTTATCTTTTAAAGCAGAGAAGCTTTTTTAAGAGTACGAAGTGCTTCTTTAGAAGAGAATCTGATTCATAGAAAGGAAAGAATATTTACAGTTTTCTTAGCTATATAATTTACTTGACGTCTATGCATTCTTAAATGGACAACACATATTGACAAACAGCAACTTCTAAGACTTTGAATACAAATACATTAGAAATACAGATCAGGAAATATTGTGTTTTCACTCAGTGAAACATTTTCCCTTTTTTGCTTAAATTCATTGACAGCCTAATTCAATATATGACTATTCCTATTTTAGTAAGAATTAAGGTGATTATATGTGCACTTTTACAAACAAAGACATCTTAAATATAGATCAGACTACAAGAATGGAACTGTTGTTGGGTATTTCAAGAACTGCATATTCCCTTAGAAGTGCCACATCACACCAGTCATCACCCAGACTTCTGCAAGTCTGGCTAAATGCAGCAAGTAAGGGAGTATCATTGCCTATTTTAGGGAAGAAATTGAATCTACTGTGTCTCTTTGCAGAAGTATATAGTACCAAGCTCAAGCTTGTCAGAGCAGAAAGGATTCACTTCTTCCTTTATTTACGTAGTAACTATTTTAGCCGGGGTGTCTATTTTACTTTTATTTGTTAGAATACCAGCTCACAATCCATGGATATTTTATATCTTTACTCAGCTAAATGAAAGACTCAATTGTTTAAGGAGAGTTCCTAACTTCACTGTAGCAAGGAAAAGGGAAAAAGCCAACACAGTGCTGGAATTACAGCTTGAACTTCAGAGCAGATCGGCAGCTGCTTCAGAAGTCATTTTGGAGGTCATTTCAACTTACTAAGAAATTCCCAGGGAAGCTCCCTCTTTCTTTATCTAAGAACCAGCCAGTTGAGGTCTTCATTAGAATTATAAATTAAATCCCAATACATTTAACCTCTTAACTAACCCTACTTCTAGCAGGTTGGACTTCCAGCTCAGTTTACCCCATGACTCTCTAGCAAATACACACAGCACACAGAGGTCTGCTCTTCAAATGCAAAGAAATGAAGAATTTCACAAATGTGATTATTGAAAAGAAATAATAGTTGGATATTCTGTGGAACCTCTTTTTCCACCATTCAAAACAGCAATGATTCTGTATTATATATTTACCATTCCCACCTAGCTTAGTTACACACTGCAGGCCTACATTTCAGGCAATATTAGAGCCGCAGTAAGCCTGGAAGTGACAGAACATCTTGACTGAACCACTGTATAGAACAACAACATGTTCCAGGTATCAGGTTCAACATACTTAAGTATGTTGAGTTGCTTTAACAATCTTTTTTTATGTTTTAATTTGAACATTCCTCCATTTCTACATCTGTCTGTACTTCAAGAGGATTTCCCCAATGCATTTTGTAATATTAAATATGGCTGACATTGTTGAAGAACAGAACAGTTTTTGTTAACAAAAAGTTTTCAGGAATTCTTTCCTTGATTAGAATACAGCATAATTAGCACCAACTCAGCAGTGCATCAATTCAGTTAGAAATGACCCATTTGAGCATCACAGTTTTCACTCATTTGCCCACACATACCTGCATTACAGAATGGCCAGGGTCAGAAGGGACCTCAAGGATCATTAATCTTCAGTCATCCCCACCACAGGCAGGGCCACCAACCTCAACATTTAATACTAGACCAGGCTGCCCATGGCCCCATCCAATTCAGCCTTGTACACCTCTCCTCTCCCAATACTATTTTTGGACCTTAACTCATCATCAATTTAAAAAAAGAAAGCTGTGTGTAGAAATAAATATGATTAGATGAGTTGAACAGTGTTTCAACGTCTGAAGCTCTAATGAGATTGAATGAGATCCTAGAAAGAATTATTACAATTAAATCATTAGAATATTTCTGTCTTTACAAATATCCCCATCCGAATGATGCAAACATTAAAGATGATGTTTTGCTACTGAAACTTGTATAAGCTAAGTAATTTGATAAATTACCCCACAATTTAAGCACTGTACCTGTTGGGAACTCATGATATGAGATATCTACATTCATTTGGTGTGGGGTGAATCGCATATAGGATGCTATTCACAAGATTCTGCATAATTCCTCATTACACTTAGTATCTATAGCCTCATGCAACATACCATGAGTAGACTGATAAGTAGCATAAACGGACATTCCAATAGTGTGCAATATAATTACCAGCAGTGTGTAAAGCACGTGCATAAACCATACATTTACTGCATCATTCTGAAACTGTTAACAGCTATTTATGATCATCATAAATGTTTTCCACTTAGATCTATACTTGGTTTTACAGTGTTGTTTTGTGATATGCAAGTAGTTATACTGCTTTTCTGTATCAAATAGAGGATACTGCAATAGACTGTGAGCAAAGGAGAATTTCTCATGGCATCCTTCCACAGAATTACAGTAGAGTATATTGCCTGATCTCATCTGCACCAGTGATGAAGTGCCTTGGCATCCCGTCCCTCAGACAAGTCTACATTACTTCTCGCAATGCAGCAGGAATGTAGTAAGGCACTGAGCGATAACTGGATTTCCTTGATGAAATAATGAGATTTTCCTAATATTTCAAACTGTTTTATGTTATACCCTATTAAAAAACTCATTTTTGAAGGCTAAGTGCAGATCTAATTCAAGTTTTATTAAATATGATATGCATTAGAATTATACTATCAAGATCGTATCAAAATGTCATTAATGCAGAATTAATGGGAACTCAGTGGAAAAACTTTATGTCAACAGTAAGATTGTCATGCTGATAGCATATTATAATTGCATAAATTCTTGTAGATCCTATATTACAGCAGCACAGTTGCACTTTCTGCCAAACAAAGTAAATGCAGCCTGAAGGGGTTGTGTCAGTCTGCCACAGCATTAAATTTATTTCTGGTATTAGTCATATAAACATTTAATGCACACATAATTAACCACCTAAAGCTTTCACGTTCTGTTTACCTTTTAGCATCATTTTTCATTTTGTAAAGTTTACTATTAAGAATCTGGTCAAATCTAGGTTATGCCATATTTAACTCTGGAAACCTATCCTCAATTGGACCTTGATTCAATTTCTGTATTTCAGCACAGTCCAGATCCTAAAGCTGCATGCCTTAACCTCTTTGTCTCTCCAACTAAAAAGATGAGAAGGGAGGAGGTTTCAACAGGCATCCAATACACTGTCCCCAGTTCTTTAGATGGAGTAGAACACAGAATTGTGTTCATATAAATAGAAAAGATGTTAAAAAGCAAATAAGTAACTTTAAAAGATGGAAAATCCTTCAGGACTGATGTGGGAGATTCATACTGAAGAAGGCAAAGGAAAGAGATGCTTCAGGACAGAAGGGAAATGCAGTCACAAGCACCAAATACACATTTTCATGCATTCTCACTTCAGAAATGTTTAGTAGACAAAATACCCAAACCACAACTCTGACATATTTCCCAAATCCTGTTGCAATTCTTGTACTTAAAGGGGTGCAACAGCTGTAACACAAACTCTGATTACCATTTAGATGAACATATAGAGTGATTTATTTTTCTTCTATATGTATATAATCTATTCAGAGGAACTCTTGCTTTGCTACTTCCATTCATAATTATGAGTTAGCACATATTGTTGCACTATATTTCAGATTTTGGAAGAAACACCTGTGCAAATGGTCACATGTAAGACACTGCAGAGTAATGCTGTGGTGCAACACTTATCTTACAGATGCTTTGTCCTTTCCCACCTCTCCGCTCTAACCTAATTTTCTAGTAGAAGGAAAATGGATCAATATTAATCTGTGAAGCTAAATCAGAGGGAAAGAGTGACAGAGGACTGTGTAAGGGTACAGAGTAAAAGAGAAGCTCCAAACCTTAACATTATGGCTGGGTGATCACTGCTTTTCTTTCAAGAAACACGAATTCTTGCAATGGCAAGAATAGCAACAGCTATCCTAACTTTATTACCATTGCCCAGAAGGTTGGAAAAGGGATATTAATTCTTTCATTACATCCAGGCTGGGTCGCAATGAACTCATTAAAACACACCACACAAGATGGCATCCACACGTGCACCTTTCAAATCCCTTTCTTTAACCACAGTATGTTCTATGGAAATGCCATTTATTTGAACTCTGCATGAGAAAAGCAGACGTGGCCTCAAGCACTCTTATATTGCAATAACAATCTCTAGGAAAAGCATTTGGCAATGTACTTCACCAGGAAAACCAAATTTTTATTCTGGCTTAAGCTGAAAAAAGACACGCCTGCCAGTGATACCTACCACAGTATAAAATACTATCAATGTATGGCAATGGCACTGAGTGCATAAGCTATCTGACACAAAGATTGAACAAGTTCAGACAGACCTTTGAAGGTGATAGATAACACATTACTCAGTTCACTAACAGCAAGCTTCGTAAAGCTCTGCTTAAAGGCATGTTTCAATTTCTCTACAAGTTAAAAACAGCACACCACTGTGAAATCAGATATTCACAAGCATCTGAATCCATTTTCACCCGCGCTTTTGTTGATACTGACTTTTCAACATAAACCTCCCTAGAAAAATGAACATGAAACAAAACCAAGCACTTCTCTGGCAGTTCTAACTCTATCTTTATAGGGTTGTGTTCTGAGATTCTCAGAGAGCAAATCCCTCTGCATTTAAGGTAGTACATTGTTTTACCTTCCTAGATATTTTTATCATTTACTAGTAGCCAAGGAACCAGCAGAAGGCTTGCTGGAGCAGTGACCTAAAATGGGAAAATTAAATTAAGAAGGTAAGATAAACCCTTAGAGGTAAATTGCTTTTTGTTGCTCTCATCCTAATATTTGATGATTGCACCGACCTACAAATCAAATCATATTTCTTCTTACCTTTCAGCCTTATATTTTGTCTGTGATAGAAGGTTTATCACAAGATTATTTTTCCATTTTTATCTTTAGAAAACAGGGAAGTCATGGGCTGAGGCACTCAGCTAACTCATTCAATATGTTATTACAGTATTTCCACGGAGATTTCTCACTAACCTAGGACAAACAATGACATTTTAAAGGGCTGCCCTCTATAGTGTAATAAATAATGTTTACAAAGAATTTAAATATCATCCTTGAGCTGATTCCTTTTCATTAGCTAGTTAGCTAGGCATATAGTTGTCTTTAATTACAAACTTGCAGAGCATCAACAACAGTCACACGAAGACCATCAAAAGGTTAATTTGACGACAGACTACATGACTAACAAGCATAATACACAGGGTTTGGGGTAGTAAGCTTTCCATTCTGTGTTTACTATAGTTCAGGGAAGGTCCTTTCCTTTACCAAAATCTTCCATATAGAATTACGCTGACCTTTATACTCTTCAATACTTTTTTTTTTTTTTTTTTTTTTTAAATTCTCCTCCTTGGTATCCTTCCAACTATTCAGCCTGCTGCAGAATCTTTATCAGCACTGAGCACAAGAGCCTTCGACCCGCAGTTTTACTTCCACAGATTATGCTCACACTCAATAGTACGTTACCTTCTCTTCTCAAACTTGTGCAAACATTTACAGCTATAGTTTCTGTAGATTTTGTGGAGCCTGACTGCAGTATCTTTGATGCAAGTAAATATTATATAGCTTAGGTAACCACCGTAGCTTTCACATAATGTGTCAACTATTGCACTTATTTTATCTATGCTCATCAATACTTATCTATATAGTTCATACTAAGGATGATTATAGCACCATATAAACAAAACAACTAAATCCTGCATTTAATACTATTCTCCCTTACAGAAGCACTTACCTCTAATTTAAAAAGAGTATGTTTTCAGAGTAGCAGCAAAAAAATTTTGCTTATCAAAAGAATGAAACAAACTGAGGTCCATTAGGTAGCTCTCTGGTTTCCTGAGCTGTTGGACTACTCAAAACTCCGATCTATGGCAATGACTGATCCAGCTCTTAGCAAATAGAGTGTAAAATTCACAGGTATATAATTAGCAGAGTGGCGTGATTAGGCTGGTATTTTACAGGTCGTATAACTGGAAAGATTATCAAGGTGGAAAGGGATAATCAGAAATAAATGAAAATGCTCAGCTGTGTCCTAAGCTCAGAAAAAAACTCCCAAGGGAGCAATCTCTAGAAAGAGAACCTTCCTCGGTTCAGTCAGCCCTTAAATGGGGGTCTGCGAGGTACAGCCAGACTCCACTCTTCCCATCACACAGCTGAATTGCCTTCACCTGTGCACCTATGGCTGACTCAGCATTTGTCTCGTGATCAATCAGAGGTTCAGGCTGTTTCCATACAGAGAGTAATACACAGAACACGTAGATAAACATGGCTTAGAGTATAAACATCTGCAGTTTAGGTTTGATACCCTTGGATACTTTTATCCAGCCTAAAATCACTTTCTGAAGACATGTATTTTCCTCAAGTTTCTGAAAATTCAGATTTGGTAACAACCACTTTCCCATCACAGGTAAAGCAGTGCTTTGCTGGACTTTAGGTGTTCAAGTTGCATTTTAGTACAGCTCTTGCTAGAAGCAGACAGGCCTAAGGAAGAAGTTCAGATGCTGTATACTCACATGTTAGACCAGTACTATACTATGTCCACTGAAACAGCACCCCCAGTTCCAAACAAAGCAACTGGCACAAGTGTGCCATATATTAGACAATTGAAGAGTCAAAAGCATCTTATGTCTTGTAATAAGAGTGTATCTTTTTTTGCAAAGAAAGAAGGTCAGAAATCTCTGGGGAGTGATCTGAAAGCGTAAGCGTTTTGAAATTATATATTCAAAACATTGGTGTTTTTTGCCTTAACTTAGTAAGCTCTGTAGAGAAATTTAGACTGAAATATTTGATTTTAAACAGTGATACCGCTTGTATTCTCAACACACCCTTGCAATACATCTTTCCAGTCCAACTGGCCCGTTACTGATGACATAGCATGTGATTCACATTCTTTATGTATTCCTTCTGTAATCACTCTCCTTTTTGGCCATCCATGCTCCTCAGCCCTGTACCAGCTCTACACCTTGCTACTCACAAAGCAGCAGGTGGTGAGGAATAAACACTTCTGTGCAGCTTCCTCAGCACAGCCATAGACCTCTGGTACAAAGATCTCATTGTAAACAATGAGTACTTGTAAATAATCTTTTTTTTTTCCTGCATGGCAGAATTCAGTGACAAGCTTTTGCCTCATATGCACTTCATATCAGACACCATTCTGTTAGACTGCCCTTCTGCTGCCATCTATCACACAGCAGAAACATGTAAAGGAATATCACTGGGAAAGTTCAACCTCTATTGCCATTACCACAGACAGCCACCACTGACATCGTGGACCAATGTCTTAAAATAAAAGGCATTACATCTCGAGTAGCCCTCATATAAGATAAATTTTACTATTAGCTTAATGTGCATCACTTACAAATAATGAAGAATCCAAGAATTTAACATAATAGGTTTAGGATATATTCAAATATTTATTATTTTAAATGAAGTTAATGCCTCTTTTCACTCCTTGTTATCAGTGAAACAAAGTATCTGGCTTCATGCTAACCCTGAAAATCTATGGTCCTCATCCAGAGCAGACTTTCTGAGGGCTTCAAAGTCTTGTCATTCACGCTGCATGTGGTTTTGGTCATGACTCCACCCATGCTGAAATTTACATTAAGGGAAAAAGGGTACTTTACAGCTCGTTTGAAAGTCTCAGCCATTACTTCTCAAAATAATAAATTTCCTGGGAAAGAAGAAAATCCTTTATGGTGGAGGGTAGGGAAAAGGCAGGGAGATGGGACTTAAAAAAAGCCAGCAGCAATGAGCTTAGGAAGAAAGCTAATTTACTAAATATGATAGCTGAATGTGAGATAACATTATACAATACAACAGGTATTTCAGACTAATGAAGATAAGCTTTCTCTCCATTCCTATATGAAGTCAGGCAGACTTTACAAAGTCAGATGGAAAGCAGTTGCTGACTTCCTTGCTAATTATTAATCTATTTCATTCTACGTTTTTTCCTGAAGGACCTTGGATTCTGACAGTCAGTATATTTCTTTATGGCTACATGAACCACTGTGGGTTTGCTGTCATGCTTCACTTTCAGTATATTATCCTTTCTGTATTTTTAATTTCACTTTCATTAGTTTTCCAGTCCTCTGATACCTAAAGGTTTATTTTTCCTTTTGTACTTCATCAGCCTCAAACATCTTGGGTAAGAAAGCTCATCATTTCCAAATACTTTGAGTAAAGGAGACTCCAGTCTGATCTTCTGAAGTTAATTCATAAAATCATTAGCCAACATTTTAGGAAATTACAACTATAACAGGGACAAGAAAGAGTTGTCACCAATGATTAATATACTTTATGCTGCAACTATCCTTTAATTCCACAACTTACTGACCTCTTATAAGTCTATGGAATCATTTTATAGTTCACATTTTGTTCTCAAGTGTTGCAGATACACCTATTAACCCTGAGAAAGTGGAATTTTTTTTGAAAGATATCTCCAAAATTTCCAAAATATCTCCAAAATATCTCCATTTTTTGAATGATATCTCCAAAATTCTTCTTAGTGTGTTTATCCATCCACTGATGGATAGAAATTCATGAGTAAGTATGATAGAAAAAGGGTGAGAGGAACAGCTGTTCCTGTTTGTCATTTTTTAAGAAAAAGGTGTTATTTCAAAGATGTCATTATTGTAAGTAAGTCCATCAGGATCCTCACTATCAGGACAGAGAAGATTCATGTCTCATTTTATCATGAGGTTTTTATAATCATTTCATCAATTCAACTCTCGCCTTCAGATGTCTCCACATTTAATATTTCTTCCTGCAGTAGTAGTTTAAACCCACAGGTAACTATTCTAACAAAAGTCCTTTATCTCTATTTTTAAACGTACATTGGGTTTGTTAACTATCACCTTTTCTTCCACCATCACCTCCCTTCCTGTCTCATTCCTCTTTCTCACTTCTTCAGATGCACATGTTTTTCTACCACATCAGTTTCTACTTTTAAACCATACCAAATCTCATGTTACAGTTGTGCCTGCACATAGTGTCAGCGTGAATAAAACTGGGTCCTCCTTCAGTCGGTGTGGAAACACCCTTTGTTTCGTTTCCATAGATTTAACCAGGTAAATCCATTGGTCGCCCATTAATGACTCTGCTTGAAGAAAATAAAAGACATCACAAGGTAAATTAAGCACATGCTGTTACCTGTCATAAAGCTGACAGGACGTTCTGAAGGCACAACTGGATGATCTTATGCTATTCTACACCTATGTTCAAATTTGCTAAAATTAAACTGAAGATACTTAAGGTATCATTTTTGTGAAGGCAATAAAAATAAATAAGACTACCAAAGGTGAGAAATAGTCCCATTATTTTAAGTAATAATGTTACATTTGTTATACTTTCCAGTATATCTCTAAAATATGATTGTATGTACAAAATTTATTTCATGGCTTCCTCATGCCACACAGAGCACTGGATACTGTCTCGACTTGTTCCCAATACTTGAGATCAAGAGTATATTCCTGCCACCTTTCATTTTTTCTTAATATCTTGTTGAGCGTTACAGAAACACCTCCAGTTAAATACAGATCAGAGGCAACAACAACAAAATAAGTGACAAGGGGAACTCTTATTCGTTCCGTTTAAATTTTTCTATCATTGTTGCTCTTTGGAGACTCGTGTTTATATTTGTTTATTGGAATCACTAATGTTTACTGGAAAGAGCGCTCAGTGCTCCAATCCTAAGCACTAATTAATTCAGGAGGAGGCCAGAATGAAGCTACAGCATCACAAAACCACTCACTAAATGTTATACCCTAAGGTCATAACTGCCTTTCTTTGCAGAGAATATAATCGCTCTGTAATTCTCTTCAAAAAAGAGCAGGACAACCACAAACAGTGGAGTTAAGTCATCTTGAGGCAACTGCCATCAGCTAACAAATTCAGTCACATAGCCTCTGCAATTACTAGAGCATTCACTGCAACAAATTTGTTGTTGCTCTCCTCATAGAGAGTGGACAAACTACATCCTGTTATTGTTAAATGTATGATTGTCACTTTTCTCCCTTCTATTGCTTGCCCGCTTGCTGCCTAATGCTGGCCACTCTGCTGCTGCTCTCCCCTGCACTTTTGCCTCAGACCACCAGAATGGCGTGCAACAGGATGCTGCTGGATCTTGGTGGTGACTATCCCCACTTTATGTAATTCTTCTTCTTTCCTTATCTTTCCTATTGCCTGCTTTCCCTTCCCCATTACCCTAATTCATAATTGTCACCATCCTCCCCTTTCCCATCTCCCTGATTGATTAGGATCTGTAATAAACTGGTCAGATCAACATTTGAACCATTGTTTCTTAATCTCACATTGGGTATACCTATATCAAAGAACTTCCTCTCCCTCCTATAAACTGGAGAGAGACAGGTGGCAAGCAAACAACACACTGATGTTGATGCCTCCCATCCCCCAAGAACTCAATACTGACTGAAACCACCCTGACTAAAAACAATATTTCCACTATATACATTCTGCACCTCGATACAACCAATTTAAGAAAAGTTGCAACAACAGCAGTCCCTACTCTTCTTCCAACCACATCCAGTACAGCCAATAACTGTACTATTTTTTCAGTATTTCTGGTAGAAAGGTGGTGGATAACGCCTCAAAAATATCTAGCAGCTTGCCTTTCTTCCAGCTCCAAACAGAGATAAAACCAAGGAGATAAGTCATTAAAAGCAGATTAACTTCCTCAGCCTAATGAAGAGCAAAGCATTTGCTCTCATTTCCAATGATAATAATTTCAAAAGCCTTT